TTCAACACGGTATTCTGTGCACTTCGTATCAACACAATCAACATTCTTATCTACATTGTCTTGGTAAGCTGATCCCTGTCAAAAATTTTGTTCTCCTTCACTAGAAAATGCTAATTAATTTGAATTGTAAGTTGGTATAAATCATTTGGCGTGTTGACTCTCCATTTCAAGGGTCATCAAGGATTTCTGCCGGTGATATCTGTTTCTTTTTGCAGCAAGAGCTGAACAAGATAATAATTAAACAAAACGATGTTCAAATCAATACATGACGTGAGCACAGGTGTAGAGGAATACGAGAACCAACAAATATGATTCTGATTTGATGCAGTCGGTTTAATCTGAAGCGATACTAAGGCTAATCAACTGACTTAAGTACATGTAGTTACACAAACAGTGTCAACAAAAGTCAAGTTATTTGCTTGTCGGGACAAATTTTTTGGCGAACAGAAACAGAAGGAACAAATGGAGGAAAGGAGAAGGAAATAAATGCTTGCTTGGATAGTTTGATCTGAGTAAGCCTTGGCCCAAAAGTGGCATATAAAGGCTGAAAGACGAGCCATTACCTCAAAAGTAAACAAGAAACTTTAAATCCATCACAGGCTAATATTTTGTTAGGACCAATAGAAGACGGGTGTAAGAGCGGAATGTTCCTTGTGTAAAAAGCAGGTATCATAGAATTTCAGATGAACAAAACATGAAATGCACATAGTTGTGTACTGATATTAGTTAGGGAAAAACTTTCACATTAATTCATGAGGTAGACCAAAGTCATAGTCATTGCGCCTCCTCCAGACGCAACAATAGTACATCCCAAGCAGCAGCAGCAATAATAAAAATAGACATGCTAGACCGATAGCAACTTTGCCACCAGTAGATAAGCCATTATTACCCCCAAATAGTGGACAATCAGGCAATGAAGGTACACCACACAAGCCTTTGTTGCCAGAAAGGCTGTGAAAGAAACAAAAGCCTATTAGATAAATAAAGAGACTTCTATAAGTTTTGAAGAATTAAGAATTGAAGCCGACATCAGAAAAATAGAACTAATGCTTATTTTAAGTGCATTTATGGTGATTATATGTTGATCATGTGGTAGATATGCCTTTTATTATCTACTCTAGAAAAGTTCTAGAGTATGACCGTTCATTGTGCCAAGTGTGGGACAATGCTAAGCAAGCTTTCACAAACTTTAAGAGCTCAAACACAGGAGTTTAGAGCTGGTATACCAACATTCACCCTTCAGAGTTGTGACTTTCTACAGCCCCAATATAGAGCTTTTTAGAGCTATGGTCCTGAATGAAACATGAGATACTGGAATGTGCAGCTGAATGTTATCATGGGAATGAATCTAGGTACACAGAACCACATAGAAATCGTATAAAACTACTTGTTTGAAGAGACAAGAAATCATGCTCCTCAAAGACCAGAACTTCTCTCAATTAAATCTCCACAGGAAAATGCGAAATGCAGGAAAAGATGATAACTTGGAACCTTCCAATATTAGTTTCCTAAATTAATGAGTAACATGCCCTATTTTACTTAATATTATTAATGTGCATCTCAATAAATTCCATTTCATACTACTTATAATAGGATCTTAGGTTCATACGCACTACAAATTACCCAAATCCTACTTGGTCAAAAGGCTTAAACTCTTTGACAAGAAGCCAATTAATATATGAGCCTTCTCTGCAGAGACCTTTGCACAATTGAAAATTTGTGTTTGTATTCATTTAAACTTTCATTTTTTAACGTTATAATACTCTCTTTAATAATTTTCTCTGAAACACATCCAAGAACACCAAGAAGATAGAAGCAAATACGTATCCATTGGTTATTTATTTATAACTACAATTTTTAATTTGTGTACCCACAATCCGATGCATGGAACTACCTTGCAATCAGGCAAAAGATGCAAGAATGGCACACATGCCTCATAATAGTTCTAATTTATACAGAACTCAGTTTTTACAATTTTTCCGAGAGTTGAGATAGAATAAAAATGAGAGTAATAATGGCTAAAAAGAGGTTCAACAAAATAATTGAATTCATGACTAGAAGGACAGAGACACAGCTGAAAGGAAATTAACTGAAGCTTAATCTTGATATTCTAAAAGAAAAAGGAAACCTAGCAACAGTCCTTGGGATAAATTGCCGCCTTCAAGAAAATTAGTGAAATATTACAGTGCAAGAGTCTCCAACACTAGGAACTAAAGCGGTTTGGGCAAACATCAGAATTCATATACCACAGATGACATAATCCTATCATATGCTTACTATCAGATGCTAGATGCNTATTTCAGCTATGAGTTCCAACAGAAGCAAATACGTATCCATTGGTTATTTATTTATAACTACAATTTTTAATTTGTGTACCCACAATCCGATGCATGGAACTACCTTGCAATCAGGCAAAAGATGCAAGAGTGAGACACACATGCCTCATAATAGTTCTAATTTATACAGAACTCAGTTTTACAATTTTTCCGAGAGTTGAGATAGAATAAAAATGAGAGTAATAATGGCTAAAAAGAGGTTCAACAAAATAATTGAATTCATGACTAGAAGGACAGACACAGCTGAAAGGAAATTAACTGAAGCTTAATCTTGATATTCTAGATTTAAAAGAAAAAGGAAACCTAGCAACAGTCCTTGGGGTAAATTGCCGCCTTCAAGAAAATTAGTGAAATATTACAGTGCAAGAGTCTCCAACACTAGGAACTAAAGCGGTTTGGGCAAACATCAGAATTCATATACCACAGATGACATAATCCTATCACATGCTTACTATCAGATGCTAGATGC